ATAATTAAATAGACGGTTTTAGTCGTAAAATGGGAACAACAGACAATCAGTATGCCCGGGGTATGGGTTAACTCGGCATAATACCTTTTTCAAAACCTATTACTTGCCCTATAGGTTTCACACCTTCCAAGGTCCGACCGAGCACCCTATCGTATTATGGCCCAATACCATCTGGACCGGAACATACACGAGAATGATCTTGGCGAGTCTGGGTGAGTAATATATAGGAATCATTCGAAGTCTTGGTCTTCATTAATCAGCTATTCTGTCCTTTCTTCGTGTATAAGATAAAAAGGGGTTTATAGGAATAGTCAACTTCAGTGTCACAGTCCTAGCTGCCACGATCTCTGTGGAACAAAAAGAGTCTTGTATATAGTAGTAGCATAGATACGAGGGTATTCCGGAAGCCTCGTGCATCAACAAGTGTCATATTCTACCCTATACTGGCAGTCCTGACATTCAGCAAGAAGTATGATGCTTATTATTTATAGCGCTTAGATAATTGCCAGGCAATATCATTATTGAGTATTGGAAAAATTGTATTCGGCGACCTTTTGGAAGATATTTATAAGCTTAGATAGTCCTGCTAAGGTGTAACTAATAAAGTTGAAGATTAAGTTAGCGGCTCTGTGAGTATGCGCAAGCCCTAATAGGCCGAATAGCTCGTAGAATCAAGGGATCTAAAGACGGCCCTAACTGTAAAGTGATAACTTGTGCGGCTGCAATATCTGGAGCCAAACGGTATTTCATACATTGTTTAAAGACCACCTGTTGAGAACTCTAGGGTTCTCAACGAACAGGACATCCTCACGAAACTTTCATATCTCGAATCCTATGACTGACCCTGCTAAGCTGGAAACATATGTAAAGAGATAAGCCTTTAAATTTATGATAACTCCTAATCATAGAATAGAGCCATAAATCCAACACCTCAATAATAATTAATGACTACTGCTAGGTTTTGTTGGGATCGTAAAACTGGTGGCTAAAGGTTAGTTATATATATGTAATTTGTAACAAATGTTATCACAACAGATGATTAGGTAATCACAAACGTGATCTTCCTTATTAGGTCTGGTGGTCTAGTGGTATGATTCTCGCTTAGGGTACACCCTACAGCAAATATGCGAGAGGTCCCGGGTTCAATCCCCGGCCAGACCCTGTATTCTTCTTTTTGTTGCTTTTAGCAAGCCGAGTATGTGTCTTATATATGTGGTAGATAAACGTTGTAAGCTGAATGATGGGGGAAGCAACGTCACCGATATCACCAATATTCCTTACTCTGTTGTCATTTATTGATGTGTGTTTATTTATGTTCTACACTTTTGCGAAAGTGTTGCTAAATGATTAATGGTGAGTGAGTAAACCGAGTAACTCGGCACATCACGGGTTGGGTCTTGATTGTTCGCTGGGGATAGGCCGGGGCAGCTGAGAATATATGTAACTTAGCTTATGGATTCGAGGAATCATGACATAGGCTATAACTAGACGTCTAATATACGGCGTATCCTATAGAAATTATTAAGGAAAACTTAGGTTACAGAGTCTCTTGGATAATAGTTGATGTGGTCTTGACCATACATATATCAATTTCTAAAATAATCCCAACGTGAATTCGGACCTGGATTGCCGCGCCCTAGCAGCCTTGCGGCCGTCTAGACACCCAATAGGCATGGTGTGTGGCATGGCAAGTGCTTAGATTGCGGGACTCATCCCACAATCCTACACTAGGGATCCTTTTGGCGATAAATGACGGCAAGCGTCGCGCTCTCTCTCCTTTACAGGAGCTGCAGCTAGGAGAAAAAAGCATAGCCGGGTTCTGCCCGGGCGGTATTACCTACTGTACACTAAACTACATGGAGACCCTAGTCTTATGGCCAACGGGGGCCCAATCATTTTCCCTACATAACTGAAACGGCGTATGACAGTGCGGTCTTTGATTACTTATGTTTTGGTAGCATAGGCCTGAAGATCCTAAATCCAAACACGTCTTGGTTCCCCCCAATTATGTAGTATCCAATCGCTCATCTCGGTTTTGTATTTAAGCCTTGGCAGGTAGTAATAGCTGGGTCTGCGGTACATGCTTGGCACGCTGTGCCGCTTTAGTTGTCCCAAGCTGTGTATTTACAAATCGTAGGCGTGTGGCTGTACGGGCACTGTCTGTCCTTGCTTTTCCACTTTACAGCCTGCCCATCTGTGCATTCTGTTTTCGTCTCATTTCTCTTTCTAGGATCAATCATCAATCAATCGATGTTGTTCTACCAGTGCGGGATTTCATCAAATCCCCTTGATATGTCTTGACCTTTACTTGCCCCGCAACTCGCAGCGCTTCTCTTTTTCCTAGTTTGATTTCTCTCACGTTCTCGATGGCAAATGAAGGCAGCTTCTGGTCTTATCACCGGGGGAGGTGGAATGTGACGAAGCTTGTCTTGCGATGTATTAGTTTTGTACTGAGCATTATTATAATTGGTGTATCTATCGCCGATAGTGTTCTCATTGCGAATAGAGGCGCCGATTACACTTTTCTACTCGACTGGTGGTTTACTCTCCCTATTGTACGTCACCCACTATTCCGTCAACTGAATTAATTCTCTACTCGACAACAAAGACTCACCTCGTCCATCTAGATACTCATTAGCACCGGCCTCGACACTGTCGAACTCATATGCATCTTCGTCCGGAAGTGCAATCCCGGGCTTCACCCAGGTTTTCACATCGGCACAGAGCTCGTTCTGTTAGGCGGAAATATCACCGCTCTCGTCTTCCTATCGAGCTCCATTCCCACAGAAAACGATTACCGGAACTACTACTTCCCTGCACTTAGCGGAGTAGTCCGACCCCTTAAAATAACCGTAACATTCTTCGTGGCAATATTCAGGTGAGTCTTAACAATCGCCTGGTCGCGTTGATGTTAATATGGTGGGATAGCATCGTTCGATTCATCCTCTTTGTGTTTAGTTCTGTGGATACGAATAGACATCACACCGCCGCCCAGGTCGAATTGATAGTACGAGCGCTACGTCAACAAAATATCAACGAGTCTATGACGCCCGCTCAAGTGCACAATGCGCTCTATCCTAATCGACAACCGATACCCCTCCATGAATTCCCGCAGGCCATAAGGCCTTCACACGAAACATACAACAAGCCTGAGTACTATCGGGAATTGCCCGATAATCAGAAATTCTTGGGCGACCTACCTACACTATTAAAAGCAACTTAATATATTAATTACGCTAGGCCTCTATTCTTATACGGATTGATGTCAAGGCTTATGGAGACCTTGTACTTGAAATTCTGAGCTCCTACCCTTCTAGACGCCTTCGCATTGTTCTATTCCGAGCCGACCTTGATGGCTGGCATATAATTCACAATACATGACGGCGAAGGCACCCATGTCATATCAAGACCCACGCTCGCTTCTACCTTGGACTACCTATGCACCAATAAGCGATCGATGCACGACATTCCCACAACCTTATTACTACAGCGTCACTACTCAAGGACCTAACCCTTAAGTATTTACACATCTTCCACAGATGAGGAATACTTTGGATACGGAAACACGGCGGCTGAAGACGCCTGAAGCGCGACCTGCTATGAATGTAACCCTTATTAGTTAGCCGGATACTTCGGAAAGATCCCACATGAGGCTGCTACTGGCATATTTCTCAGTGAGCATCGAGTGAAACCTATTAGGAGCCTCATACCGATTATTCGCCATGAATGGAGCCCACGAGACGAAAGTCATACCGGCTTACTGAAGACTGGAAGCGGATGATAGTTGAGGGGCTGATGGGGGGAAGCGATTCTAAGGCGGCCGGAGAATTGAAGATGCTTGAGAGTTGAGTCTTGGGTCTAAAATGGGAATCAATATTGAACAGCCCTACTAGAATTGACGGGCTCAGACGACAGCAGCCAGACGTGGTAATCCGACAGTATCAGTACATAATACCACAACCCACTCATCATTCGTTTAACTTGGACGTCCGGCGACAGAGCTAGACGTGGCGAACAAGAGTATTGAACTTTGGAACTGTATCATGTATGAAGTGTAAGTTTCAGCGTCATGCGCTTGGAAAGGAACTCACACGTGATGGCACAATGGAGGTGTTAGGATATACGATAACGGGAAGTTTCCACTAGAATACATCAAGTCCCTCACCACGATGCGCAAGCCGAGAAATGAGACCGAGTTAGGGGCGTATGCCCGTCAAGAGAACTCTACGATTTGTGACCTCTAGCGTAGAACCAGCGGATTCAAATGGCGTCTTTTTCTACCGGCGGAAAGCGACGTCATAACACCAGGTAGCCTCCCACATAAACAGCCAATATTCTCACGCGTATCAAGAACACTTAGCATCCCCCAGGTTATCTACCCCTGTATATATAATTGCATAAAGTATGGCATCATTCTACTCAATTTAATATCGGGGAATACCTAAGTAAGTAGTTGTGCAGGATAGTCAATTAATACCGAAACGGCAGCGAATAAGCGTCGCCCCCCTGCCCCCTCCTCCTCCCCCCAAAATAAGAAAATGATAACATCTTATCCGTAGTATTGAGAATAAATGAACAGATAAATGCCAGGTGTTGAATAAGTCAAAGGCAATTATCAGGTGAGAAAACCGGCTTGTTCGGCCTACCAATTTGCGACAGGTCTTTCGCAGATCAACCTACCGATCTCAGTAACTGCTCAGTACCTGAGTGCTGTAATTAGGATTACGGCTCACCCTCGGTGACGTGCAGCGCCGGACACTATAGTGGGGAACACACCGTAAGCTTCGCCTCAGGGCAGCAATATCCTGACCATCACGGTAGCTTATAACCTCTAGGTTATGACCTCTAGGTTATGACCTCTAGGATCTACATGTAAAAAGCCGTAACTATGCTACCTACCTAGGTACATATTCGGTCCGACAGGATCATATATGTAGTGTATAATATCTTAAAAAGTCCCGAATTGCAACAATCAAGTCCTACCTCGATTACTAATCGTAGGACCCGTAGCTCAGCGGTAGAGCATCTGATTCCAGTGATCCTGTTATTGGAAACAGCATCCAGAAGGTCATCCGTTCAAATCGGGTCGGGTTCAATTCCCTTGAATTTTTCCATGATTCATTTTCTTTTTTCTTTTTTTGCTGATAACGCGACACTGATTTTCTAGTTAAGTACCTATATTACTAATTTCTGGGCGAACTTAATCATTTGACTCGGTGCCGCAGCGGGATCGCTGGCTCTTGTGTTTTTGTGCCTCCTGATCTAAACCTGCTAGAGCGTGAGTGAATCTATCATATACACATCTCCACCACACAAGGCGCAGCAAGTCTTGTCGTCTGCTTCAGAAACTTTGCTAGTTAAGAGGGGAAATAGCGCCGTGTAGTGTAACCCAAGGATTTTGAACAATGTACATTCTAGAGATACTTAAAAAATGTGTTCCGTACATACGTACCGCCCTAGGACGTGATGCCACTAGTATGGTGAATATCGGACAACAGGTGAATTCCATCCTGATACTAAAGTGCTGCCACGCTCGTAGTTTTCAAAAGTTTGGGATCCGGCATCCTCATGTCAACATCAAAGCCCCCAGGCCTGGCGGGTGTCAGCTCGTTCATTGTGTCGAAAGATAAAATACGTACCCTTACTTACTCTCTTAGATTAAAGGTGAACAATCTAAACTATACGCTAACCAATTTAATAGAAGTACGTCCCCTGCACTAGACACGCTCAATTAAAGAGAAGCCACCCGTTTTTAACTACTTTTAAAACATACTACATACAAAATATGGATCTATTATAGACGAGCTAGTATATATAACATGTCTTGGTGGGTTGGGTTACATGATTATGAGCTTGAATTCAACAAAAAAGTCTTATTCCCAGGTAAGCTTTATGGTGGCCTGGGGTGATACCGCGTAATTAAACAGAGCAAAAAAAGGTGTTGAGGATAACGCTGGGAGAGTGATAAGAGAGAAATTAGCAAGCCTAATGTGTTTAAAATAGGATTCGTTCCCATCGAGTTGTTTTATCGATTTAGTTTAAGCTTATATTGTTACGCAAATAACATAGATACTTAGCTTCACGAATCAAATTCTGGGGCTAACGGATTCACCTTTTCAGGAAGATAGTTGGCTCTGTACATCGTCTCCATTGTCATGTTTAGAGCTAGGGATATCGCGATGCGTACCTACCTAGGTAAGGTTATATGCAGGATACTAATACCTCATGATGTGCCCCGCTGCGATCACATGGTTCGTTCAACTTATCTGAACGTTAATATAAGACAAGACAACAAATCTTTTAGATGCGAGCTATTCTACTGGAGAACCATGACGTAACGCGAACCACCGGTTCGTCTATTATCTCGTATTATCATAACACTTCAAATATATACCTAATGAGTGCTAAATTGTATATATTTTATACTACTAATATATATATATCTCCTTAATGAAACTCATATAAGGCTTGGAAAAAAAAAAATGCATAGGCAAGTAAGTTACCATTCGTCATCGTCGATGGAGGTATCCTGCCCTCACAAACGACATCCTGTATCCCGACACAGTGGCCACCAGCTCCATACCGCCGAATTCTCCTACTGCGAGCTAGTTCCGGCCGCCGGAGCTCATTTGCTAGGTTTTTTCCCATGGTGACTGCCACTATGGTGACTGCTGTGGTGACTGCTGCTATGGCGACTACTGCCGTTGTAATTACTACTATGGCGGCTAGTGCCATGATTGCTGGTATTGTGACTTCTCGGGGCCCGATTGCTCGGACCGGGGTCACCATCACCATAATCAGCGTTACCGTTAGGTATCGGGTTACCGTAGGCATCGTAGTCATACTGATAACCTTCATACCCCTCCCATTGGCCATGCTCCTGTCTGGGCACGATGTCCAGCCCGTAAGCGCCGCTCATTGTCTCGTACAGGCTCGGGTTCTCGTCGTAATCCCTGATCTCGACCCTGTTGGAGTGAATCGGCCGCGGCTGCACCGAGTTCAGCATCATCAGCCCGAACGTGTTGAACTCGTACTGCGTGCTCAGCGAATCGGCCCGTGATTGCCCGCTGGAGTAGCGTCTGCTTGCGGGTCGATGGGGCTCGTTGTGGCCGTGGTGTTCCCCGTTGGCGTTGGGCCCTCCATGACTGCTTCGACGGCTATGGCCGCTATGGCTATTTCTGCGACTGTGGCCATTGCTATTATTGGTGTGATGGCTATTGTGCTCGCTCTTTTTACTATGGTCGCTCTTCTTGCTGTGATCGCTCTTCTTGCTGTGTTCACTCTTTTTGCTGTGATGACTTTCCTTGCTGTGGTGACTGTGCTTGCTGTGGTGGCTCTCCCCGCTATGCTGGCTCCCCGTCGCCTTTCCCTTTCCTTTGTCCTTCTTTTTATCCTCGGAACTGCCACCGCCGCCTACCATTTTCTATGCTCTTTATAAAATTATCCCACAGAAGAGCTAAGGGAGGGTGCAGGCGTGCAAGGTTGATCGCAGAAGGAATTTCAGAGTAGGGCTGAGGCTTCAAGGGATAGCTATGACGAGAATGTTATTGTCTGCGAAGTAGAGGGTGGAAATTATCGAGAGTACATGGACAAGGCGTACGGGATTGTGAAGGGCTTAAATTAGATAACGTAAAGTGCTCGAGGGAGAAGCAACTTGCACACAGCTACACCTTCGTTGTTTGTCATGAGTAGGGAAAAACCTGGTAATTTTCAATACAAAGTGGTTGCTACGGCGTACTTATATAGTGCGTGGGTGTTTATGAATCGGTGTCGTTTTGTTGTTGTGACGAGGCAGACTCCTCCGTCCCAATCCCTTAAATTCAACCGCCGATTCATGGCCGAAGATTCCACAATACTACACTTGGAGCCAACAAGCAGTCTGTGAGAGCCTCGAGTTGGCCACAAAGGGAGTCCAGAGCCCCTTGTACAACGATATTATTCACCGCTCTTCTTACTAATTGGTCGTTCCTAACAGAAAAATCATATAGATGAGGTTGTTTTGCGATGTTGAGAATTTGAAAGTCGGTTTGATAATATGAGAGATGATTGAAAAATTCCTTGGTGGAGCTTGGGGACCAGTTGCAAGTGAAGGTATAGAGTTTGGCACGCTGTCTCGGGAAGGCCATGTTGGCCTAGGTTGCTAAGGCATCAAAAATGAGCAAACCATTGGATTGTGCATGCTCAGAGATATCTATAAAGCCGAATTGTAGCCGACATAGCAATCAAGTTGGCCTCCTTGCATATGGGGGGAAACAAACTGCTACGAGGACACATTTGTATTGAATCCTGAAACAGCACAAATAGAGCCTCGGCCTTCGTTGAAACTGTTTGTGCGAGAAGTGGCGAAGCTGTCAGTCATCGATGCCAAGTATCGCGAGTGCTGAGTATCTCCGAGTCAAATAAACCTGTAGTAGATACTCCCGTTGAAGTCAAAATCATCGCCACCCAATTCCGGTACCGGGAATGAAGATAGTACGACAAGGCATAGACCTATGAAAATGTAACCTGAACGCGGGTATCAAATCAACAGAAACACTCCACCTTGTACGGAGGGCCGGTCTAAACAAGCTTATGCCAAGCCGGCGCTTCTCTTTTCCTCCCTTTCTTTGCCTCCTTCTCTGCCTCCTTCTCTGCTTTCTGCGCCTCCCACTCTTCGAGATTTTGCACCAAGATCCAGTCTAGGGATCTGACCCTAACCCTCTCTCCTCGGCTGTTCCATCGAGTCTGAGGCTTCTTCCCTTTCTGGTGCCTCTTCCAGGCCCGTTTCCGATCCGATCTCGCTGCCTTATCGGCATTGCGGACCTTATGCTTGATCTCCCACGCCGTAATCTTCGCAAGTGTGGTCGTCGCGGGGCTTGGAGCCGGCACATCAAATGAGAGCTCGCAGCTATACTGCGACAAATACCGGAGACATCTTTCCTGTGATGTCAGTTCCAATGTGTCCTCGGTGAGTGGTGCAAGGCAGGGATCCTTGTCGTCAAGTTCGAACAGCTTCTTAAGTCGTGTTGTGCCGATAACCTTGATGTGCAGCTTGCGCGGATGGAAGTACTTCTCATTCATGAGGCTCAAGTAGTCCTTGGTGCGCTTGTAGTTCATAGCGACCGTGCCGAGGATGGCAATGCCCTCTAGGGCGGCGCCGATACCCTCGGCTATATCGTAGGGTACTAGGCCGGCGGCGAACCCTGTGACCTGTAACACGCGGAATGCTACGTTAGGAGTGATGACGATGTTTAAGTTGTCGATGAAAGCTACGAAGTCTTCTTTCGCGATGGCGTGGTCAATTAGCTCCGGTGCCCAGGCACGCGCGAAAGGGATGCTGCCCCCTGGATCCAGACGGGGAATCAGAACCGGCTTGGGGAGTGACGGAAGATCTGTGCCTTCTGGGACAGGAGGAAAGCTGGCAGTGGCGAGGTCGAGGATGTGACTCTCAGAATCCTCGATCACCGAGCCGGGAGATGTAGTTGGAGTCAACTCTTTATCATCATCCTTTTGTGACGTCGCCGAATCGTCCCTATTATTAAAGGCAATTGAAGAAACTCGAGACACAGATAGACGCCCCGAGTCTATAGTTTTAGGATGTTCGTGGCCATTCTCATGATGATTAGGCTGAGCCTTCTTTGACGCCAAGGAGCGACTGGCCTTCTTTGCCAAAGTCCTGATGGCATCCCCAAGGAGTTCCTTTGATGGCATGGCTGAAGTGTGATTGAAGTGAGGGCTTCTTAGATCGTGTCAAGATACAGCAAGGTGATGCTAAGATAACCCGTATGAAAACCCCCCATGGCGATCATGAGGTGAACGGATGTTTTCAGCTCGAGATTCAAGATGGGATACCCTATACCTTTAGCACGTGTAGAATATGACTATCTAGATGGAGTATGGCGTGTTACCGAGACTGGAAGCTGTGAGGAGGTGGACACCGAATCCCCAAATGAGTAATCCGCCAAGCATCTCTCTCGTGATCCTTGGTATCTCTTCCAGCCTTAGTTATACATTATGTACGATGCACATTCCCGAACTTTCAAAGTGCTAAAAGTTTTAAAGAAATAATGAATGAGTCTGTTCTATGAATTTATATTTTTTTGTATTATGTTGCAC